AGGGGAATTTCACGGCAAGTGAATTTCATCGACTTTCTTTCCTAGATTAGATGTGTAGCTGTGTTGTTGATACAGATTATTAAGTCCCACAGAGTGTTTTGTGTCATTTCTATACTGACTACTGGCTTCCTGCTTCTATCCCCACACTGCTTACAGATATCAGGATCGCGGCGCAGCCCAACGGATGGATGGATGCGGCACCGCCCTATTCCCCAGCTTCCCCCCTTCCCACCTCCCACGTCAGCCAATAGCGCTTGCCTGGATGATTACCGTAATCCCCCAACAGATAGGCGCATCCCTTAATTTAGCCCAGTGGGCCTATGGAGTGCAAGTGCGCCTATATCCGTTATTTGATTACAAGCGCAACCCGATTTTTGAAATTGTATTTCCTAGAAGCGCATCTCCCATAGCTCCTTTAAGCGCACCTTAAACTACTTGCACTACGAACACTTCACTGATTAGATATCAGAAGTAACATTCCTGTTAACCTTATAATATCCTACTTTACACTAGCCTAAGCAGCTAAGATCTACCTAGGTAGATGCGCTCATTGTCCCCAAAAAAGCCATTTGCAGCAATCTCATCATCACATTCTAACTTTGTCTCTTCTGTGGATCTCCTATGAGCCATGCAGAGGTGGTCCTCACTCCCATCCAAAGCATTGCTGATGCCACAGGTCAAGAAGGCCTTTTGAATGAGCTCTGCAGGGTCGGCCTTCCATGCCTTGGCCACCCACTTGAGCGTCATCTCTGGTGAGGGCTTTCGGATTTTCTGTACACGAACAAGCATTTGTGGGTTAGTATGCGGCGATAAAAACCAGGGTTTACGAAAGTAAGGTCAACAACGAATTCAAACTCACCCTTTGCTGTGAGGAGGTTACATCCCTCGAGCTGAAACCACTCTTGATACTGCTGCCGCTCATTGGCCTTGAACGAACGGTTCACCTAGATGTCCAAGGGTTGCACGTCCACCATGCAACCGGCAGGGACGACGCCGGGGACGATGTGCAGCTTGGCATACTTGTCCTTGACGTCCTGAGTGAGATGGCCGTGATATGAGTCGAGAATCAGCAGTGCCGACCGCGCGCGCATGCCAAACCGTGGTTGGATGAATGGTTTGACTGTCTCCTCAGGACCAAGGGATCAGGTGGAGAGGCAGTTGGAGGAGCTTGTACAGGAATGGCACATGCATGCGTGGGAATGTGTACCATAGCATGGAATGGCAGAAGCGGCCGACTGGACGGGGATCCGTTCCGCTTCACAGGATCCTTTCCTTAGAAGGACAGCATGTGTATATCGGAAAACTGCTAGGGCTTTGAATCCTGTTTCGCTTGTTTGTTTCTTGCGGATCCGAATAAAGTAGCACTGAACCCAAGTGGACTGTTCGAGAGCAAGAGACTGTTGATCAGAGCCCCATGGCGCGGGTCGATTGACTTGGACGCCGAGGCGGGACCCTTTTCAAGTGGGTCAGAGGAGTGTGGCACAGGAAATCCCAGAGGGATGCTGGGAAGCACTCAGGCAGGAGAGCAGAGGAAGGCATAAAACAAAAGAGAGAAGGGAATCAGGAAAGAGAGGTAGACCGACCATGGGCAGTGGGCAGGCGGTTGGGAGCAGAGAGGGAAGGACATTTGCCGATATAGCCAAGGGGGGATGGGAGAATAATTCAGATAAAGTGGGGCATGAACATATCATCAGCCGTCTCAACCGCATACCAACCCCGCCCCGCCTCATGTGTTCCCCTCCAGCCGCCCTAGCATCATCCGCCCACCTCACTTACCACAGCTCTACTTGCATGCTCTTGCTGTCCGATGAGAGTTGTACCATCCCGTACTTCCAGGGCACTGGCTGTTGTGGTTGCCTGCTGCCATGGGAGCACCAATGCGTCTCTGAACCCAGAGATTCTCAATTATACCTCCCTGAGTTCCTCATCCGGATCTCCTACATCAGATACCTTCTTGTGGACAGGCTTGGATGTCCCAGTCAGCACAGTGGGTGCAAACACCAAGTCTTCCTACAGTGCCGGCAACTCTCCCCTCACTGTTGCTGATTCCCCCTTTACTGCTGCCACTTCTGCCCTCACAGCTGTCAACTCCACCTTCACTTCTACCATCTCCAGCTTAGCTGTTGCCAACTCCCCTACTTGCAAATTCCTAATCGCACTCATGAGCACAGCAAGCTGCTAATTCGCAGCCCCATTCATCTTCAACCAGCAACTATTTTCTTCAATAGTCCCATCTCCCTGCTGCATGAAAAGCAGAGGGTGGAGAGCAAGCGTGGGTGGTCATATTGAGCATGGTGAAACAGCCATAGCAAGCAAGATGATGCAACCACAGTGAACATGGTGACAGCCACAGTGAGCATGGTGACAGCCACAGTGAACTTGGTGACAGCCACAATGAGCATGGTGACAGCCACAGTGAGCATGGTGACAGCCACAGTGAGCTTGGTGACAGCCACAGTGAACATGGTGACAGCCACAGTGAACATGGTGGCAGCCACAGTGAACATGGTGGCAGCCTCAGTGAACTTGGTGACAGCCACAGTGAACATGGTGACAGCCACAGTGAAATTGGTGACAGCCACAGTGAACATGGTGACAGCCACAGTGAACATGGTGACAGCCACAGTGAACTTGGTGACAGGCCCAGTGAGCATGGTGACAGCCACAGTGAACATGGTGACAGCCACAGTGAACATGGTGACAGCCACAGTGAACATGGTGACAGCCACAGTGAACTTGGTGACAGTCATAGTGAACTTGGTGACAACCACAGTGAACATGGTGACCGCCACAGTGAGCATGGTGACAACCATAGTGAGCTGGTGACACAACCGTAGTGGGCATGGTAATGTAGCAGTAAATGCTGGTGAAGTAGGCATCTGGAGCATGGTGATGCAACCATAATGACAGTGGTGATACAGCCAAATGTATGTAGTGATACAGTCATACTGAATTTGGCGATGCGGTTATAAAGACAACTGGGCTGCGTAGACTTACAGTACTACAACCCAGACTTAGGATTACCATGACCGGCCGAGAGTTACCTCGACAGAGGTCTTGGGCTACCACACCCTTGGGTTGCTAGGGCTAGTGTTACGACAGTCTTAGCTTACCATGGCCTAAGGTTACTGCAACCTTGGTTCCAAGATCTAAGCATACCATATCCTAGGAATACGACAGCCTAGGATTACTATAGCCTATGGTTACGAAGAGCTATGTAGCAAGGCTCTTAATGGCTTAGACACCCTATTTTTTACAGAATGTTGGGTACCTGTGGCCCTTGGTCATGCGACCTAGAGTCAAACACCCACTATCCACAACCCTGTTAAACAGTTTTATAGTATCCATACCCTAATGTACCCTGCTAAGCAAAAATGGGACATTTGTGGGGATAACGCAAGGCAGACAAAACTTTAAGCAGGTTTATTCGCATGCCCAGCTCACTGGTTGTACAGTAAGTACACTAGCTGTTCACTCATTAGTTGCAAGTGCACTCCCTACAAGCTCACTCATCACAAGTGCTATAGGTGCAAGCTCACAGGTTGCAAGCACTTGCTGCAAGCTCAACAGTTGCGAGTGCAGTAACTCCATGCTTACTAGTTGCGAGCACTTTTGTTGCAGGCTCTCTAGCTGCAAGTGCATTTGTTGCAAGCTCACTAAATGCAATCGGACTCGCTGCAAGCTCAGTAGCTTTAAATGCACCATCTGTAAAACACCCTTGTTGCAAGCCCACCAATTGACAACACACTTGCTGCACAAATTTGCGCCTCGTTAAATCCCTGTCCAGCTTGCACGCATTTCTCTTATCACCCAGTGCACCCTGGGTTCATCTTGTTGCCACTAGAGCTTACTAGCCCAACATTCCCCACAAAATCTATTGACTTTCTCCAGAGTTCGTCTCTCCTATCCCTGTCTCACTCTCTTTCTCTCTGCGTCATGCCTCCCCATTCCTCTGCATCATAGCAGCACCAGCAGTGGGTTGGCATGAAGGGAAGTGCTGAAAGGAGTCATGGCTGTTGGTGCAACCCTATGGCTTCCACTCGGCTTGTCGTCCTTGTTTGTGTGTGTGCATCCATGGCATGGAATGAATTGTGAGTCTATGTCATTGCTATCCAGTGCTTGTGTGTGTGTTTGAATGGTGTATCACAATGTGGTTTGTGTCGGTCAAGACATTAGCGAGTTTTTACAACTCGCATGTCAAGTCGTCGTTTGTGTGTCGCATGTGTTTTTTCTATTTTGTCGAGTGTGAAGTGTCCATCGTGTTGCAGGTGTGTGCAGCAAGCCCCCATCAACTCAAGAAGAATTTATCTTGCAGATCCAAGAACAAGAGCTCAAGATAAATATTAAATAGTGAAAATAGTAACGTTACTTCGTGTAGTGTTACATTTCACTTGGTGTAGCCCCTTGGAGGGTTGGTTTCGAGACTCTTCATGGTTGGGGACTCTATGATGGTGTACCACCAACCTGGACCTCGGCTCTTGGGGTATGTAGAGGCTGGGAACCATCTCCCTCTCGAACTCTTCTTGCTAAGTTTGTACTTCCAAGACTATAGTGGCTGCTATACCTCTTGCCAGTCAAACCGCCATAGCGTCGTCAAATCTTCATGGAATTTCATGATTCAACTTGCTGCTGATAGAGGACAGCAACGCGCTCCAAATCCAACTTACAGATCACAGTTTGATTCAGCCACCAGATCGTTATCAATATTTGAAGCCGTCTAACGGAAATCCGACTGTGCTCTCTATCTCTCATTATAGGCACATCTAAGCCTATTGTGATTATAACAAGTGGTATCAGAGCCCCTTGGAGCCATCTCGACCATGCCTAGACCTGAGGAAGGGGGTGGCAGAGGTGCTGGAGGCAGAGAAGACGCCCAAGCACAAGGTCAACACCAAGATCCACCCGTTGCTCCGGTGCAACCTAGCCTTGGACCCTCTAGGGATGAGCCTAGAGTGTTTGGCCTTGACAAGTTCAACGGTGACAACTTTGCTGAGTGGTCCTTCAAGATGGAGAACATCTTTGACCACTATGATCTGCTGAAGGTGATGGAAGGAACGGAGAAGCGCCCGGAGAACGACCCGGAGAAGAGCCCGTGGGTGCGGAAGAGCGCACAAGGCTACCTTCTACTTGGGCATGCGTTGGGGAGCAGCCAAATCCGTCACATCAAGCCTTTTCAGCGTGAACCAGCAAAGGGACCAAAGGCATGGGCTGCTCTCAAGGGTGTACACGCTCCTGCAACAGCAGCGGTGGCTGTGGTTTTGGAGCGGCAAATGGCGGCACTTCGAATTGACGAAGGCGAACCGGTGGAGGAAGGAGTACAGAAATTCTTCGACTTGTTGACACAGCTCGAAGGAGCTGACCTGAACTACAGTGACCTTCAAAAGAAGACCAAGCTGCTGGCCTTACTTCCGGACTCATGGTCCTCGCTCATCATCAACCTTAATCAAGATCTGCCCCGTCTCTCACTCGAAGATGTGAAGCGGGAAATCTTACAAGAAGATTTCCGCCGTCGCGAATTGGCGGGTCCCGATGGTGCCGGAAATGCAAGCATGGGCCGTGGGCACGGCCGTGGAAGGGGCAGAGGGCGAGGAGGAAGATTTGGCAGCAGTAACTTCAATGGAGGCCGTGGTAATGGAGGATATGGCAGCAACAACAACAACAATGGCTACGGGCGTGGGCGCGGTCGATTTGATGGCGAATGCCACTTTTGTCACAAGACCGGCCACATGTGGAGAGATTGCTTCAGATTGCCTGATGGATGGACCCCTTCTCAAGGCCAAGAGGGCAGAGGAGCAAGGGGAGGAAGAGGCAGAGGTCGTGGAGGCCGTGGTGGTCGTGGAAGCGAAGCGGCAAGCATGAAAGGTGGAGACTACGACAAGGACTCGAGTGAAGATCGATACCCGGGCCAATTCTTCTTTGTCTCCACGCAAGCGGCAGCTGCAGCAGGAGGTGTGGAAGGCTTTGAGGAGCCAGCTACTGTGGGAAAGGTCACCCTTCACTCTCTGGACTTTTGGGTGATCGATAGCGGCGCCACCTACAGCATGACACCTCGTGCGGACTTGCTCACCGAACTCGAACCGTCGCCGGTCAAGCATGTTACATCGGCTTTGGGGCAGCGAGCAGAGGTGAAGGGCATGGGCAAGGCCATGTTCAAGGGTGCTGATGGGAAGATGGTGGGCCTCAAGAACGTGCTTTTGGTGCCCAACCTAGCAGCCAACCTGATTTCCGTTCGGCGTTTGCAAAAGGCCGGCATGGACACATCTTCCAAGGGATCCAAAACCTATACCGCAAGGCTTGGTGAGCGGAAGCTTTGGGACCTTCATGAGGACAAGGACATCTACAATGAGATGTGGCAAATCCCATTGGTCCCCATGCCTAAAGAGAGGCAAGTGGCAGCAAGCGTCAGCACCAAGCGTGAAGCGGTTGGTGGCGGTGATCACGGAAAACAAAGTGACACCAAGAGTGACTCGAAGGAATGCAACCTTGGAGAGACCAGCAAGGCGTGTGAACCCAAGGAGAATGGTGCAGCAGCCAAAGAAGGTGGAAATGAGGAGGGGAAGGCTAAGATCAGCAAAGCAGCAGCGGCAAAGGAGAAAGGAGAGAGCTTGTGGGGCACAATTGCGAGTGCCGCTTTCTCCAACCCGACTTCCGCTACGGGAGAGTGTGATTGGCTGACCTTGCATCGGCGAATGGGGCATATGGCATTGCCCATTTTGCAGCAGATAGTTAAGCAAGAGATGGTCAGTGGGATACGTGTCAAGGGGGAGCCCAATGAGGTGCTTGGCTGTCCAACATGCATGCAAGCCAAGTTCACCCGCTACCCGTTCCATAGCTCAGAGACAATGGCGAAGGCACCACTTGATGAGGTGGTGATGGATGTGGTGGGCCCCTTGAAGCTTGGAGCTGCTAGAGCAGAGTACTTCCTCACCATTGTGGACGTCTACACTCGCATGACTTGGGTGTATGTGCTGCCCAAGAAGAGTGATGTAGCTGAGACGGTGAAGACCGATTGGTTGCCGATGGTGGAGCGGCAACAAGACCAGCTTGTGAAGGCGATTCGCACAGACCGTGGGGGAGAGTTCCTGAGCAAGGATTTCTCAACTTGGCTGAAGAAGCAGGGCATAAGGCACTCTCTTACCATTCCCTACTCTCCTGCAATGAACGGCATCGCCGAGCGTGCGAATCTGACACTCACGGAGATGGCTCGGGGACTTCTCATTGAAGCCGGTCTACCCAATTACTTTTGGCCGGATGCGGTGCGGCATGCTTGTGTGGCCAAGAACAGAGCCTTGACTCATGTGGGAGAAAACAAATGGGTGCCCTATGTGGAGTGGATTGGAAGGAAGCCGAAGGTGGACATGCTTCGGGTGTTCGGGTGCATGTGCATGGCACTTGTGCCTAAGAAACTTCGGCACAACAAGCTTGATGCCAAGGCAACATGGGTCGTGCACCTGGGCATGGCTCAAAACAGCAAGGGATGGCTTCTATGGGACCCATTTACCAAGAAGTTCTTGGTGAGTAGAGATTGCAAGTTCATGGAGAACTTACCGTACAAGGAGTGGAAGGCGGAGAACCAAGCGAAGATTGGTGTGCGGCTTGGAGAGGTGAAGAGGACCGGCTTGGAGCATGTGGAGCTGCCCTTGGAGCTGAGTAGCAGCAGCACAATCACGAGGCAATCTCCCCAAATGAATGGGGATGAGGAGGAGGAGGAGGTGCTGCAAGGTAATGAGCGTGCACCGCCACTTCTGCCTCGTGCTACAAGTGCTCGCGAGAACCGACCGGACTTACCGCAAAGCCATGAGAGCATTCAAGTCCCTGCAGCAGAGGAGGAAGGAAGGGGGAGAAGGAGGACTCAGCCCCCCAATAGGTTGAGCTATGAACGGCTTGGAGGACCAGCCAACTCAACCTTGACCGGTTCGGCTCTCATGCTAGGTGATGATGCGGAAGATGAAAGCGAGGAGTGCGCTTTTGCCTTCTTCTCTCCGGTGGAGATACCGGGGGAGCCTACAAATCCCAAGGAGGCTTGGGAGGGCCCTAATGGGAAGGAGTGGAAGAAGGCCTCAGATGAAGAAATGGGGAGCATCATCGAGAACGACACGTTTGACTTGGTGAACCTACCTCTGGGGCGTAAGGCGATTTCTTCCATGTGGCTCTTCAAGCGCAAGACCGACGCCAACAGCAACATTGAGCGCTACAGGAGCAGACTGTGCTCTCTATCTCTCATTATAGGCACATCTACGCATATTGTGATTATAACAATGGCCAGGTGAATGGAGGTTTGAGAATGTGGAGTAGGGGGAGGAGTGAAGGGGTAGGAGGGGGAAAGGGAGTGAAAATGGGAGGAAGGGGGAAGGGAGGTGGCATAGGTGGTGGGGAAAAGGTGGTAGGTGGATCTGGGAGAACATGGGAGGTAGATGTGGTTTGAGGGACTGGAGAGTTACTTGTGTGTGTTATGAAAGGAAGGTGTTCAAATAATAGTTCTAAAACTTTTTATAACTCTTATCTATTGACAAACGCATCAGTCACCATCATCACAACACTTGCATCACTCGACGTCTTCAAGCCTTGTTGCCTCAATCATTTATGTGGTGCGGAAACATAGGGGCATTGGGAGGAGATACAGCACAAACAAGACGACTGCAATGTTGGAGAGGGTGGTGTTTAGAAAGGCATACAGGGGAAAAACAGTGAGCTGAGCCTCAATGTAGGTGCGAGGGGTCGGGATGTCAAGAGCGTCTGGGTCACCCTCAAGGGCTAGCAACATGGAGCAGAGATGAGGAGTGACCTCCGCAAGGAAAGCTAGCTCGTACCGCCTGACCTCTAGGACATCACTGCTAAGGGTAAGTGCACCCCCGACTGACGCACGACAGGCAGGGTCGGAGACCAGAGCGGTGGCGTAGTCAAGGCGGCGGGTAGAGGCAAAGTTAGTGATGGCAGCGACAAGAGCTGAGAGATTGGAGACAGGAACGGATGGGTCGGTAAGAAGAAAGGCCGGGACACAAGGAAAAAGAGGGCTAGCAGCACAGAGGAAGTCAGAGAGAGGACATGAGGAGTCAGAGAGGGACGACTGAGGAGGCGACGGGAGAACTGGAGTGGGAGGAGTATGAGATGCGTGAGAATGGAGACACATAGGGTGGGCACTTGGAGCGAGAGAGACGGGGCGAGCACGAGAGGGACGGTGAGACCAGAAGTGGGAGGGAGGCGTTGGGTGAGGAAACACAAGAGGAGAATGAGGGCAGAAACGAGCCGGAGACGAGTCCGGCGGAGGGAAGAAGGGGCCCTAGACAGGGGGAGGAGACAGTGCCAGAAGAGGCGCATGCGGTCGGTCGGGAGAGGGAAGTCCGAGGAGGCGAAGGCCGGACACGTGCTGCTGCTGCTGCTGCTCCATGCCCACACCAAGACCTCCAGCCCCACCTTAGCTACCACCGGTACGCGCCAAGACAGCACCCCCAGGACCAGCACCCCCAAAACTAGAAGCCCCAAGTTTAGCACCCTTGTCGTAACCGGCACCCCCGACGCCAACATCCCCAGCGCCCACCGACCCCTGCTGCTGCGACTGCTGCTGCTGTAGTGGCAGAGGAGGCACGGGGGCATGGGGTGCAAGCACCGTAGAAACAGGAGGCGCACCCTAAAGCCAAGGACCCCCAAAGTCAGCAGACTCCTCCGTTGGGCCAACCGAAGGAAGGGGAGTGACGTGAGACACACCAGACGTGGCATGACGGGGAGGAAGGGGAGCAGGAGTTACCGGGGGAGTGGGAATAAGGAACACAGGCGAGGTAACGGGGAGAACTCAGTGGGGAAAGCGGGTGTAGAAGAGGACAGACTCGTCACAAGCGACGTCACGCGAGTGAAAGGAACATTGAGACGACAGGTGGTAGAAGCGTCTTGGGGGAAACCAAGAAAGACACAAGAGACAGTGCGGGCGGCAACCTTGTCCATGCCAAAGCCCCAGACGTGGAACGCAGATGCGTTAACTGGGGACCTTGTCCAAAGAAGGGTTGGCGAGGGCACGAAGCGCGGGGCCACAAGTTAAGCTGGTGAGCGGCATAGCGAACTGCAAACCACCACATAAAATTGGGTGCACCGACATGGATCATGGAGGTAGGAGCAACCTCTATGACCAAGTCGATGCGTTGCTCCGCAACCCCATTCTGCTGTGGGGAGTCTCGAAGTATGTACGACTGGGTGATGCCCTCCGCACGACAGAATTGGCCAAGCAGCCCGGAGGCAAACTCGCCTCTACGGTCGGAGTGTAGACGAAGCATAGGCTGGGCGCGGTGGATTCGGGTAGCTACGAGCCACGAGATAAGAACATCAGATACATCGGCCTTCTGCTCCAAGGGAAACACCGTGGTGTAGCACGAATAGTGGTCCATGAGAACTTGGAAGTAGCGGTCGCAGCGCGGCCCAGGGACTGGGACTAGGTCCCTGACATCCAGGTGTAGGGTATGAAGAGGCGCATTGGTGGGTGGAAACAAGGAGGAGTAAGGAGCACGACGCTGCCGCCCCTCCACGCAAGGCGTGTATGGAGGCGTGAGTGTGAGAGGGAGGGAAGGGAGTGATGCATGGAGAACTAGGACAAGACGGTGCTGGGACATGTGACGGAGATGCTGTTATAATCACAATAGGCTCAGATGTGCTTATAATGAGAGATAGGGAGCACAGTCGGATTTCCGTCAGACGGCTTCAAATATTGATAGCGATCTGGTCGCTAAATCAAACGATAATATATAAGTTGGATCTGGAGCGCGTTGCTGTCGTCAAAAAGCAGCAAGTTGAATCATGAAATTCCATGAAGATTTGACAACGCTATAGCGGTTTAACTGGCAGGAGGTACAGCAGCCACTATAGTCTTAGGAGTACAAAAAACTTAGGAAGAAGAATTCGAGAGAGAGATGGTTCCCAGCCTCTACATACCCCAAGAGCTGAGGTCCAGGTTGGTGGTACACCACCACAGAGTCCCCAACCACGAAGAGTCTTGAAACCAACCCTCCAAGGGGCTACACCAAGTGAAATGTAACACTACACGAAGTAGCGTTACTATTTTCACTATTTAATATTTATCCGCGTCCCTTGGGCTTGAAATCTTGAGCTCTTGGTCTTGGATCTGCAAGATAAAATCTTCTTGAGTTGATGGGGGCTTGCTGCACACACCTGCGACGCGATGGACTCTTCACACTCGACAAAATAGAAAAAACGCATGCGACACACAAACGACGACTTGACATGCGAGTTGTAAAAACTCGCTAATGTCTTGACCGACACACACCACATTGTGATACACCATTCAAACACACACACAAGGACTGGATATCAAAGACATAGACTCACAATTCATTCCATGCCATGCATGCACACACACAAACAAGGACGACAAGCCGAGTGCAAGCCATAAGGGTTGCACCAACAAACTCCCCATCGGATTGTTGGCCTTAGAATCTGCTCCCCTTAGTTCAGAGCCATCCCAGCAAGCTTGCAACACTTCCAATGCTGCTGCTCAACCAGCCTCTTGGTCATCATATCAGCTGGCTGCGCCGTCGTCTTCACGTAGTGCAACTCCACTTCACCCGCGGTTACCATGCTCCTCACCCAATGCCACTTCACCTTCATGTGCTTGGTAAGGCCATGAAGAACGGGGTTCTTTGCCAATGCAATAGCACCCCGGCTATCACAGTAGAGTAGGGTAGGTCCTTGCTGCTCTTCTCCCAATTCAGCTAGCAAACGCCGCTGCCACACAACCTCTCTTATGGCACGGAAGAGTGCCATGTACTCGGCCTCCACCGAGCTCAATGCTTGGTCCACTTGCTTCTTGCTCTCCCAAACTGTTGGGCCTCCACCAACACAGCAGATGAAGCCTCCCACACTTGTCATGTCCTCTGGTTCTGATGCCCAAGATGCATCAGAGAAGGCGGTGAGAAAGAGCCTCCCGGGTTCGACTCCATCCGCACCCTTTTGACGCCTTTGTGCGTCCGCGGAGTATTGCAGTCCAACAGTTGCTGTTTGGCCAAGCTACTTGGCCACCCTCTCTCTAGCTGCTACCTGCTCTTCATTGGGGCATTGGACAACCCTAGCCAGCTGCCCGGTAGCAAAGGCTGCATCCGGCCTTGTGTGAACAGCCGCATACATGAGGCTGCCCACCAAGGAGTGAAAACGGCGCCTCTCCTCTTCACCAACACTTTCCTCCGCTGGTCCTTTCACACACTTGAACCCTGAGGGAAGAGGAGTAGCCACATGACCTTCACTCTTCCCAAAGTTTGCAGCCAAGGCCTCCAAGTACTTCTTTTGATGCACTCGCATCCACCGCTTCTCCACATCTCGCTCAATGTGAAGCCCAAGGTAGTAGTTGACGTCACCAAGGGTCTTGCACTTGAACTTGTCTTGAAGCTTCAGCATCACCTCCTTCACAAGGTTAGAGGAGGGTGAGAATATGAGGATGTCATCCACATAAACCACCATGAAACTCCTCTGCTCCCCCTCGCCAAGCATGAACAAGGATTGATCGGCTGTTGAGGGAGTGAAGCCGATCGCCTCCAAGACTTCCCGCAGCTTGATGTACCATTGCCTAGGGGCTTGCTTGAGGCCATAGAGTGCTTTCTTCAGCTTCCACACTCTGCCATTCCCATCATTGTACCCCTCTGGCTGCTCCATGTAGGTCTCTTCCTCCAAAACGCCGTTGAGGAAGGCCGTTACAATGTCCATTTGCTTCACCACCCATCCTTTGATGGCCGCCGCGGCGAAGAGAGTTCGAAGGGTTGTACCCTTCACCACAGGAGCATATACTTCATTGTAGTCCTTCTTCTCCTGCTACTGGTACCCCTTGGCTACAAGTCTGCTCTTGTAGCGCTCAATGTTGCCGTTGGCGTCGGTCTTGCGCTTGAAGAGCCACTTGGAAGAAATTGCCTTACGCCCCAGAGGTAGGTTCACCAAGTCAAACGTGTCGTTCTCGATGATGCTCCCCATTTCTTCATCTGAGGCCTTCTTCCACTCCTTCCCATTGGGGCCCTCCCAAGCCTCCTTGGGATTTGTAGGCTCCCCCGGTATCTCCACCGGAGAGAAGAAGGCAAAGGCGCACTCCTCGCTTTCATCTTCCGCATCATCGCCTAGCATGAGAGCCGAACCGGTCAAGGTTGAGTTGGCTGGTCCTCCAAGCCGGTCATAGCTCAACCAATTAGGGGGCTGAGTCTTCCTTCTCCCCCTTCCTTCCTCCTCTGCTGCAGGGACTTGAATGCTCTCATGGCGTTGCGGTAAATCTGGTCGGTTCCCACGAGCACTTGTAGCACGAGGCGGAAGTGACG